TGTAAGTACGCGGGCAGGCGGGCGGACAGGGGGGAGGTCGGGGTTAGAGAATAATGCTTGATTAGAAAAATATAATTCGAAGCTGATCGTTGGATTAGTTAGCAAGGTTTTTTAAAGACCCTGTTAGGTCTGATTTTGACTTGTTTGGCTACCGGATTGACAAATACATAAATCACACGGGATATTCGTTTTTCCGATAAACAGCGTCAATAATCGTGTTTTCAACAGTCCCCACTACACACGTTTTATAGGATGAATGATCGATTCTGCTTTTTATCTATTGATCGTTCTTTATTCCTATTAGACTTATTGGACGCGCGCTTTGTTTTGCTCGTGGATGTTTGTCTGAGTGATCAAATGCATTATTTTGCCTCGTTTGACCTTGTCATTCCCTTATAACCTACAGAGTGTGGCTTTGGGAATCTCGTCATTATGTCACTTAGACAAAAGATGTCATGGATAAAAACCTATATGTATACATAATGCTTGTGTTAGGATTTTTTGCTTACGAATCGATAAGCAATAAGAAATTTGTTCATCAGTATTCATGTTTATTCATAATTGAGAGAGAATAATTATTTCGTAATCATCATCATCCGGATCATCCGGATCATCATCATCATCATCATCATCACCATCATCATCATCCCAATCATCATCCGAATCATCATCATCATCTACGATTGCACAATTAAACTTTTCATCTCTGAGTAGTATATCTTCAAGAATAACCTCACCATCAGCGGTAACTCAACCAACTGAACAGTTCCCAATAGAATGCCGTTACTGAAGCTCATAATCGAGTCATCCATTTACATCCAATCGGGAAGTGCAAAAAATTCAGATTCATTTTTCATATATTTCGCACAGAACAGAAATAGTCGTTTATGGGTTCTCACTTATTCTAATCGTTTCCTAACCCAAATCAAAACCCACCTAGGTAAATTAATCCTGTGGATTGATTGCGGTTTTTTTCGGTTGTGATTTATTCACTCATTGTCCAGTTCTGTTCATCAAGTTATGCTCGAATCGATTGATCGATTCCAACACGCTCCAGGGCGCAATCGAACAAAGACCGGCTCGTGTCTGCCCAACACGCCAGGGCACAGTGACGGNGTGACGGAGAAATTGTCTTCATTTCTCTCTCTCACCAATGGTCATTCACGTGACTCATCCAGTTTGACAATATATCATATTAGTGATGTGACAGAAAAGTAATTAACCAGGATGGGCAGTTAGTAATGCACTGACTGTTGTTTGCAATCCAACCGAATGCTATTTGTCCAAATAAATAGCTGACCAATTGATTTATAGATGGATGAATCTGTAGAATGCATATTACTAATATTGCTTAGTTTAAGGGAATTCAATGGTTGATCAATGAGAATACAACTTGAGTTGTACAATCGACGTCATGTGAACTTTGTCCTTTACAAATCCGCGTTTCCGTTGTGTTTGAAAGCTCAATTCATTCTGTACTCATTCCAGAGAATTTCTCAATAAAGTTTTCAAAAAAGACATCTTCCAATGTCATCAATTTCCCTGTGGATGTGTCGATTTGTATATGTCCTAAGATCACCAGATCCAAAAAAAAAACATATGTTTTTGTTGGCTACTATCAAGTTGTAACACGCAAACTATGTCCTCCCGAGGGAATCGTTTCGGGTTGATTGTAGGGTAGACGAATGAAAGTAAATTTCACTGTCGTACTTACTGTATGGTATTTCTACTTAAGTCAGTTATTTATTATTTTCTGTTAAAAGTTCTTTATTGAAGACAATCAAAAGATCTTTGTAAGTTAGACAATTTCTACGAAGAACAAAATCTTATATATGTTTCTAAGTAGTATAATAGTGAAATCAGGTGCAATTCGTGTCCCTTCCCCTTCAACAAATGCAGTCGAGCGGAGCACATTCTGAAGTGGTAAGACAACTGGAGAATTTTTCATTTTGATTACTGCACCAAAAACGCGTATTCATTGTCTATTGCCTCTGACCGGTTGGTTAGAAAACATTCCACTGATAAATTGAAGAATATTTCAGGCATTTTAAGCAATTGCATGTAATTGTATCTGGTGGTGTGTGGCGTATAGGGAACGGGTACAGAAAAGCTTAGAAATACTGTTCAACTGTTTCCGTTTTCAGTTGGATCACTCAAGTGGAAAAACACACAAAACACAAAAACACACATACTGCGTTGGCCATCGGGTAGCTGATCAGGCTGTTTCAATTTGTCCATGCAGTATGTTTCAAGACCTATCGTTACGGACTGCTCAACTCGCTAGTTTTTTATTACACACCACTCGATAATGAATGGTAGACGGGGCGGATTCCATAGTCACGAAGATCCGCTCTCCAGTGATGGTAACCGGCAACTTAAGCCTTAGGACTTGGAGTGGTGAACTATATAGGGTACCGCTAGGTTAGACATGGTATTGTACCGAACGACAACAAAGCTGCCTACCGCCAAAGTTGGGTGGCGGTGGCGGTGGCGGGGCTCAAACCTCGCACCATAGATTCCAAAGTACACTGGTGGCAGTGACTAAACCAGTGCGTCATCACTACAGTGGTAGGGTTAGGACTTGATAAGAGGACTGTCAAATCGGACCGTTTTCATAACTGAACTAAATAAGGAAGCTCCAGAATGGTAAAACAATTATAAAGTGCCTCTAAGATGTTTATTTGCTCTTTTTACAAAGAAAATCGTTTTATTGAACTTCTGCAAGTAGAAATGTGTATCGCTCGGAAAATCCCATATTTCTATTCGATACGGTAAATAACTGACATTCGGTTTTGGATTTGTTGTCAGTCAGAGTTGATAGAGAAATACTGGTTAGGATTCACCCTGTTATAGCATTTCATGTAAGTTTCGATGCAGAATTGTTTGAAGTGACTCCTTACCAAACGACGCCAAGATCAAAGTGAAGTCAGCTATACTGAATGCGCTGCATGTGGATGGATTACGGCGCTACTTACATTTACGATTACATTTGGATCTGCAAAACACACAACACGGCAATGCATCAAATAAATCATTCCAGTAAGTGCGTAGCCGTCCGCGACTGCAAACGCAAACACCCTGTACATATCATCCTGTTGAAGCAGACTATCACGCTAATCTGATCGTGTCATTTGAAATTATATTCCACGATCTTACTTCCTGTCTATTGGCTCTTAAAGAAATGATGTTTTTTTACCGGTTCCGCATGTGCACGCAAACGCTTAAGTCGAAGCATGAGGTTGCCTTGTTTAAAGCACGTTTACTACCCTCCACAAATCCTATTAGCCACTATCTTGATAAAAATGCTACTAACCGCTCTAAAATCCACTGTGTGTTGAGTAGCAAATGAGGCAGACTCCACAGTCACACGAACCTGTAGTACGGGAGCAGATGCTGATTAGAGGACCGAGACCAGGTACTCCGAACCACATTGGACCCAGATAAGATAGAAATAGTATTAAGGTGGATGATAGTGAAGTGTTTTACCACCAAAGTGAGGTAGTGGGTTCGAAGCTGCGATCTCAGGGCAATTAACACGTGAATGATGGAAATCTGAACAATTTAACCGCCCAAATCGAATGATTCCAAATAAACTGTACTTTTCTGAACAACTCATATTTGGTCAAAGGGGAGGGGATGGAACAGAACAAATGGAACAAGGATGGACAAAATTCCTGAAATCGATGAAAGAGCAAAAACTACACAAAGCGCTGCTACAGGCGAACAATTGAGACCTCAAGGGACATATATATCAAGGCTCTACGGACTCCCGAAACTGTTCAATCTACCAGTCACCAAGTGGACGTAAGTCAGTCACTGAAAACCAGTTCTCGTATTCTACCGTGGTCGTATTTAATTCAGTACACTTTATCCTACCAGTGTACGGCTGAAGCAATTGCAATCAGACTGCTTGATCCTCCACCGATTATGCAATCAGAAGCGTTTCGTGGGGGCATTATCTCTACCATGGCTAGCCGCCAAGCGATACGAGTGTGATAACTGGAAGAACGTCGTAACCAAGGGAAAGCTCAATCAAAATGCTGACTCACATAGGATCGTTTTGTACTTAGGGCAATAAGATCCATCTCACACTGGATTAATCAATATTAAATGCTCTATCTAAATACATAAATGTAAATACATGAATTCATGAATTTATCAACAACAAAAAACGGCAGATTTTGTTCTCATTGTCGCAGTGAACGTTTACCATAAGCTGATGTTTGATTGAATTTCTTATTCAAATCATGGGTTAGCTGGAGACATTTATCGACTATTGTGGACTCCTGTTTGAGACCGTGGGCTTTCAAGTTCGCCCTTCAGATCATTTGATGTTGATACGTATTCACGGACTGCATCTAACAGACCGCTAGGGGTAGACAACTAAAGGTCATGAAAATCAGACGACGCAGGCTAATCGTAAGCGTGATGAACAAAACCTGAATCCGTCCGCCAAGGAGGAAGAGCCAGAGGGGTGCGCATACGAATGGTACACTTACTAAACGAAATCAAACAGAGAAATGTTTTGAAAATAACGACCAAAAATAAATGTGTTAGGGCAACTTGTGCAACTTCTTTCACAAAAACATAATTAGCAGCATAAATTTAAATCAGTATTTTATGTCATTTCGCTCTGGCAATTAGACCGCTCAAACAGTCTGGGTCCATTGTAGATTAATTAATTGGAGTTAAGTTTGTACCGGTCCTATCGGTCCGCGTATTCTCCAACTGAAATTACGTTTTGTATTCGATTTAAACCGACCATGTTCTACAGTGGGACACGATTTTGAAACACACTTCCGAAAATCGCTAGACACTTGACATATTCCGGGTGGGTGATTGTGCTAATGCGGTTGTGAGTAGCGACAATTTTCGGGTGCATTGACAAGAAACGTGGTGATTGGAAGGAAAAAGACGGGAGATGCGGGGAAAACCCCATCGGGACTGACCATTTTCGACAGCTGCAAGTCGGTGAAAGATTGTCAACCAGACGAGCAGTTGTGATCCCGGATCGGCCAGCATGCGGTCGAGAAATTCCTCGATTAGCACATTTTTGGAACGCTACAAAATAGAGAAAACGAGACAGATAGATAGAGAGAGAGGAAAAAGGGGGAGAGTGGAGTTATTCAGGATAATTGAAGGAGGATGACTGAAACGGAAGATGGTGTAACGCAAATGTAAATTTTCAACGGTATCCAGTGCACGTGGATGTAGTTAGAGACACAGAATCAATCAATTTAAACTACATTTTTACATATTTGTTGAAGCAGGTTGTGGCAAGCGGACTGAATTTGTTTTGATTTTGAACGAAGTAGGATGAACTTGATCTTTTGATTTGAGAAGTCAATTTCAATAAAACTGAGTTCGCAGTAAGAAGTTTATCATTGGCCTTACTTGATCGGTGTGAACAGGATGTGAAACGAACAGAGAGAGAGAATAAATACACCCTCAGTTCTCCCGTTTCAAAATCTGATAGTGACTTCCGGTTGAGCTCATGCTCTAAATCACATCTGGTTTGAATAGGTTAACCGTGGGGTTCCACAGTGATCTGTGCTAGGCCCACGTCTTTTCCTTGCCTTTATAAATGATCTTTCAGACGCTCTCGGACCACAAAGTGTACTGTTTGCAAATGATGCCAAAATAGGGAGGACAATAACAAAACCAGAAGATTAATTAGATTTCCAGAACGCCCTTGACGAAGCCCACAGATGGTTTGTCTACAATGATATGGAATTTAATGTGACCAGATGCAATGTCTTATTACTACGTCACAATGGTCGTTTTTCCTACACTCTCGGACACGAAACTCTGCCTCATGCTTTATCCGAGAACGATCGGGGAATAGTCATTAGCACAGATTTGAGTACTCAATTCAAGCCTGGAAACCATGGCTGCAGCGAGATCGGAAGGCGCTCGAACATTCACAGAGAATAGCTACCAAAATGGTCAAAGGTTTGCATTCCAAGATGTATGGCGAAAGACGACAGCTACTTGGGCTATACTTGTCTCATTATCGTCAAATCAGAGGTGATATGATCTTACTGTATCGGATTTTCCAACAGCCCAATCATTCATGTAGATCTCTTTTGGTTCCATCAACCAATGTTCATCTCAGAGGGCAACCACTGAAGTTGACACCCCAAAAGAGCCGTTTCGACTGCAGACACCATTCATTTGCAGTCAGAGTGTGCAGCACATGGAACTGTCTACCACCTCACGTGGTCTGTGCATCAGAATTAGTACCTTCCAAGCGTCAACTTGTTGATGCTCTGGCAAACATTATGTTTCAACACATTTCAAACATTGACTTACTATTTTACGTATATGAACTAACTGTGATCTTGTGAATCGTGTTCGGAATCCCAAGTGTAAATACCGTATATGATTTAATAAACGAAATTTTTGTAAGTTTTTCCCATAATAAAAATTCGAATTTGAACTTGAAATAAAACGGTGGTATCCAGCAGTATGAAGATGATTAATATGTGCATGACTTCAAAAACAGGTAATTAAGAATGAAATGTTTTTCCGATTTCTTGAACGTTTTTCGTACAAGATTAAAGGACTAATATTAGCATGTATTTGAAAATGCAAAGTCATCATTTAAATGGAAACAAAGAACAAAAATGTTTCCTTGAAAAGTAGAAAAAACTCAAATAGATCAAATAAAATCAATATTTACGGTTCAAATTGTAGATTTCAAATGCGGAACTGGTTCGGAACGCAATTTAGACACATTCGGGTAACTCGACAGACGCTTCTCGGTTTAGTTATTGACCGATATGAAGTATCATTAGCATGATGAGTATACCGTGGTCGTTTAAAGTTTTATGCAACTTTCCAGTCAACAGACACACACCGATGATCAGAATCAATAGAAACCAAAATTCAATCTCGTATACATTTCTGTGGAGACGATTTTCAATCCCCAGGAGAGATAGAAAACAGTTACTTCGTCAATAATGTTGCAAAGTAATCGAAGGTAAACTGGTTGTTCATTCATATGGCGATGTATTCGGCTGTGTTTATACAGTAGACCGCATCAGCAGATCTGACAATGAGGTATACCACATTGGTCTAAATCCTAATCGCTTTTGAGCAATGAAACTTAATAGTGTACTGAATGGTTGACATAGAATTGGTACAGTATTGACAATGGCGCGTTAAATAAACCTGCAGTCCTGCGGTGTTACTTATCTGCTCGAAATGATAAGTACACGTGAGCCAAAAACTCCAGAAATGAGATTACAAGAAATAGGGAGACACTCGGAACGCGGAACGCAATCAGTGCTAAGCGGAAAACTGAAGACCAATGTTGGCTATCAATGCGGATTACACTAAGACGCTAGTCCAAGAGGTAGAAGCATGAAATTCACATAAATACCAGAAAACTGTTTATGCACAGATACTGTGTGCAACTGAAAAATTCCTCTCTCTTTTTCAGAATAATTTATTCTGTTCTGCCAACTGTGAATAGATTTCAAATCTGGTAGACCGGAAATCGATCTGGAACGGAATCTCACTGAAACCAAAACAATATCAAATAATTCCACCTACCTGGGTATGTCATTTTTATTTTTTCCTACCTGTTGGGGATATAAAAATTGCATGTGAATTAGCAGCTGAACGAATTTATTGTGATGTTTGTAGGCTGCGTTGTTACAGATCGTTCTTGTTTTCTGTGACTCAATTAGGCTCATTCAAAGACTCAGTTCGCGTAACTCTGTTCAAGATTCAAGATTGCAATAAGCGCTCGCGCTCAGTTTTCATTCATTCATACAAATATTTAATTTGCGTGATCTTGAGCGTAACAGCTGGTTTTCTGGTTTTTACAACGCGGTACGGTTATCATTGCTGTTTGTTTGACAACACCGAACGGGGTAGGTAAACTAACCAATACTGGTTTGACCTCTGTTGCACTAACCACTGAGTTTTCAATGGCTCCCATCTGACTGAGATGTGTTCTGGCACTCGCCATGTTTTTCATCATGGAACATCTTCCACAGTCCGAATGTGTGAACGACACAAGTGTAATGTTAGGCACGTTGAGCACATCCCCGCCATTTTTGATTGAGTGTGAGTCGTGTGCAAGTCTCTGGTTGAATCTTTTGGTTCATGGTTGTTTTGTATTTTCCCCGTTTTGCAGGTTGTTTGGATATCCCCCTTTCACCGAGAACTTATCGTCCGAAGTGTCTCCTACCTGTGCATTGAGAGCGTCTGTACTGGGCCGCATTTACGAGTTGGCTCGTAAACAGGGTTTGGTTAGCGGCGCTGTTGACACCCTGAAACTCGGATCGTGTTTCCCCGAAATCAACCTCCTATCGTGTATCGGTGGCAGCAGTGTGCGAAATCCTCCACGTTATAAAAGACCAGGTCTAATCGACCGCCTAAAAATGTTGTCTGTTCTCCGTCATTTTCGTTGTGATAAACCTCACGGGACACCCGTGAACAGCTGAAAATCCTTGAAGATTTTGGACAGTGATTTTTGAAAGATTATCAAACTGGATGCTGAGTTTTCGCCCCGAGAGGTGAGGGAGGGAAATCGATATTTGCGTTTCATGTGCGTCTACATTCTTGAAGAGGTCATAATATGCGTGTCATAAGTTTGTTTGATCCATGTTAAACATGTCCATAGCATTTCATTTCTGCGGCTCAAATTAGTCTTGTGGTGAAATCAATGGCGTGGTTAAGACACATGGAAAGCCAGAATGAAGAGACGGCCGTAAGGGATACAGAGTAATAATAATAATTGAAGAGAAAGGAGGTAAAACTATGGAACTATTTTAAAGCAATGCATGCCATTTGATCGGTTTTGTAGAACAGTAAAATCCAAGGTAAAATATTTTCTAGATACTGATTGAATCATCGAGTTTTTGGTCTTCTCGAAATGGGGGCTCCACATCACTGATAGTTGCATCCAGAATAAACTTAAACTAATGTCATTCACATCTTATTTGTTCGATAATGATGACCATATGATTATCTATGACAGAACAACATAAAATATCTCTCCTATTTCCCCCCAAACGGGCACACCGATGTGATAGCTTCTTATCGAGCCGGACGTTGTGAAACATAAGACAATCACTAGTGTGCATTTTAAGGTTGAGCAAACAGAAAAAAAACAAGGACAGGAATGTATCACGTAGACAACGTATACCCGATGGGAACCGGCTGTAAAGCGACTCATCACTCAACGATCATAATGCCTGAAAATCACCAGGAACAAGGTGGCTAGGCAATAGAAGCAAAGCAGACTTAAAAGCAACTCCCGAATTGGGGTTGCTTGATGTTAAATATTGCAATTCTCTTTTTTTGTTTCCCTTATCAACAGACTTCTTTAGATGTGTAATAAAAAGGCTACTATTTTAAGTGGAAAAGAATATAAATTTCATAGAAATTATTTCCCAGTCAGTCTACCTTGAAAAACAGCCATTTTCTATCTATCTATCTAACTATTTACGGTAGATATTGTTGAATATCATGTTTAATCTCCTAGTTAGAAACGTAGACATGGATCAAATCTGTATATTCCTTTTGGCTTCATTATAGTTAGTCGTACACTTTGATTAGTATGTGTTCAGTGTGGCAAAAAATGTTCATCAGTAGTATGATTCGACGTGGGACACGTTTGAGATAACCAGATTGCGTGTGTCGTCAGTGCGACAGATTGGACAAGAGCTGTCAAAATGGTTGATTTGTATGTCTCACTCGTCAGCCACACACATACAGACAAGCTAGGGGACTAAAAAACATACAGGAAGAGTTAAAAGGTCCTTCACGAATAACGCTACACTTTCTGCACAGACTGTCTGACACACACTGACACACACACAGAGTGTGGAGGAATCATGAAACCCAAGATATTTGTTGGATACATGAGCAACGGCGCCCTAAATATGACTATATAAACTGGAATGCGGATAGCGCAATTTTAAGAGGAAATTTATCATCTTGTTGTCCGTGAAATGCTTGCTATCCACCAAAGAAAAAATTCCTGTCCCTTCATTTTTTTTCTCAGTAGTGGGCAAAAACACCCACACGAGATATACATGTCGGTTTGTCTGAAGATGTTCATTAAAGTTTGCAACTTCGGGTTACCTTGATTTTTCTGAGTTGTGGAAATATTCAAAAGGTGCTTCATAAACGCGTCTTTGTTTAGTTGCAAGTACATCAAACGAAAGAAAAAACACAATCTCGGGTTGTTGAAACAAAAGAAATTTCATAAGTTCGTTGGAATAGATCACTTTTACCTGTTTTTCGAGTTTGGCAATGTGCTTATAACAATTACATCACCAGTCGAGGTGACGTCTTCAGTGCTTGAACACAAAGACAGATCTAACAAATCGACCGGAGCTACGAGGACTGCTTGTTAACACTTTGTCAATGTTTGACCGAATATGAACTTTGTTTTATCAGCTAAAACAACAATAATAACTAGTGAATGTGATTGTTATTGACATACAGTGCTCGATCATTTGAAATCAGTCCACGGAAAAGCCTATTTTAGAGATTGAACTAATCACATACACATACATCTATGAAACCATGATTTATTGGGATGTAGCAGACGAGCTACAATTAGTCTGAAACCAACCCACAAGGGAGAATTTCGGTGGGGACTTTAATGTTTCGTCTCATTTTTAAAGTGCGCTCCATTCCGTTGAACCCGTGAACCGGAGATTGGAGATCAGTCTCGTCGACAGAATTGAAATGAAGATAGGATAGAATGAGTATGTTGTGTATGATTTTTGGTTCATTACATCTAGATGATGAAGCCATACATCTAATTCATTAGAACTAACCTTCGCACACACACACACAACGACCAGTTCTTCCAATGAACCTTACACTCACAAGCACTATAGACTCAAATTTGACTCCTCAATTAGAATTCATCAGTAGTGCATGTCCACCGTTCCACCACCGTCGCATGCTTTGAACTCCGCACACACTACTCACAAGTAACTGTGAATTAAATGTGAAATATGCACATAGACACACAAAACGTGTTAGCGCCGATACAGATTCTCCTTTATTTAACAATATCGTGTACTTTTATCGGATTCTGATAAATATACCTAATCCAAATGGTATGCTGTATTATTTGGAAGTGTGAATAGGATTTTTTGAAGACTGCCCCCTGAAGCAATTGCGTCTTCGAGCTGAACACCTGGCTCTCATAATGCCCGGGTTTGTATCCGCTGGTTCGTTCCCAGAACAGGTAATCGGATAATCACCATTTTTCCGAACCCTTAGTTCTGCATGTCTATCGGTGGTTGGGCGTGGAAGTTCTCAAAGCCGCATGTGACTCGCATTGATCATACAGAATTGTAGTCATGTGTAATGCAACACCTATATACTCGTACACGCTCAAGACTAAATAAAAAATCCGAAGAAGACAGAGACATCGCTGAAAAGTGGTGAACTAACGCGAGTGAAAATAATCTGTACAGGATAACAAAATAAGGGAGAGTCAGTTTCGGTTGCTTT